ATGCAGGGAGGTCAGGGTTGGAAGAAGAAAGACACACAAGTGTGAAAGTGAGTATATTTTTTTCTGTGTTAAGTGTATGAGATGTGCACCAGCAGATGCTGTATAGGCAGAATGGGGGTGAGGGGGGGGTGGAGATTTTTATGACACAGCACACTTAGACCTTCCCCAATACAGCATTTTGAGAAATTTGATTATTGAGCATGCCTTAGTTTCCAGATAGAAACAATTGAACAGCTAAATTTCTGCTAATTATTTGATATTTTTCAACACAAAGTTCGTAAATCGGTCCTTTAATATAAACAAATAACTATAGCAGGTAGAAGATTGTGAATTGTTTTAGTTATTTTATTATTTTTATTCACTATTTTTTTTTAAATTTTGCTTCTCAGAAATTAAGCCGAAGATAGTTAAAGTTGAAAATGTGAAAGCAAAAATTCCAGATGGTAAGTGTAATTTTTGACCACAATTCATTTTTATAGTAATACAAATCCAAAGGAACTAGCATTAGTGCAGCTCAGATGTTATCTGATATATAAGGTCTACACAACAAGCTATTTTTCATTTAAAAGAAAAGGATTATTCAAATTTTCAGATGGATACAATTGCATAAAGCTCATGTGTTGAAATGCATGGTGGACAATTTTATTTTTCAATGAATTGCCCACAGCATTCAGAAAAGTAAACAATTTTATTTAAAAAACTATTAAAATAACAGTTATGAGAAAATTTTGAGAGTAAGTTGTTTTTTTAAACTGAACACCATTAATACCTGTAAGCTGCTGAAACAAATTTGTTTCACCTTTTAAAATTCAGCTACACCTGTGCCAACTAAAATGACTCCCACAAAGAAGCATGTAGAAAAGAAGATTAGCAAAACCTTCATAATCGGCATTGCTGGTGCCGTCTCTCTGTTCATCATTTTATGCGGAGTGTTGCTAATGATGTACTGTTACAAAAGGTACAAATCCATCTGTTTTTGAGACAAGCTTAGATTTTCAAAATGTGAAAATGAACTGTTCTTTATGAAGAAAATTTTGCATCTTGTCAATTTAAATATGAGTTATTTATTTATTTATTTATTTATTTTAAAGAATAACTCTACTGTCAGTGTCTACATTGAAACATAACATAAAAATGTTAGACAAGCTCGTACAAAATTTGATCAACACTATTTCTGTAACTTCATCTGATATATATTGCCTACTCTTTATATTTGTGTTTTGTCTGTCCAACAGAAATGAAGACAAAAAACCCATCAGCGGACACACCTTTAGTGAAGAGGAGCCCACTTACAAAAGAATCAAATGGAATGGTGATGATGAAAGCGATTCAGAAGTGGAGGTGAGTTTTGTAGAAATTAAGTAGTTTTGTAGATGTTATACAGTTGCAGAGTTAAGATCTAGTGCCGACTTTTATAAAGAACCAAATTGTGAGTTTCTAGTCATTGAAACCATCTCATAATGGATATAGGAACTTCTTAATGTCACTCTCATGTTAAAAATATAAATTAAGAACTTAAGAATGGGTTACTAGATTGTGATTTTCCCAGCAGTTTTGGATGGGGTATACCTTGGAGATAAGGAAGAATTGTTTTAATTTCAAAAAAATAAATTCTATATTTTAAGGTCTAATGCACATTGTCTGTCTGTAATATATTTTGAAATGATAACATACTTGTTTCAGAAAACAGCAGAAGATGCCCTAATGGAGGACATTGACACAGAATTAAAGAAGAAAGAAGTTAGTACAATTCATTATGAAATCTGCATGGTTTTGTTCTGCACAATTGTAGTATAACAAACTTGTTATTATATGAACAATAGTATATGAACATAATAAAGTAGATTAAAAGAAAAAAAATTACTTTTATCTTGGACCCAGAATGGATTCAAGTTTTTATCAAAGCATTGCATTTGAGATTATTTAGACTTTTGTCCAGTTGTGGTTAAAGAACGATATATTTTGTGACGCTAAATTTATTGTTTTCTCTTTTAGGAAGACGTAGAAAATCTTCCGTCAGTCAGCCCTTCATGGCGAGACCACTTGCCTTGGAATAAAAATGCCAATAATAATGAAAGAGACCGACTTTACCATTCTCTTAACATGGAGGATGACACTTTTGATGAAGATGAACAGATTTTTAACAAATCTGCATAAATTCTCTAGAAAGAAAGAAAAGAATATGTACAAGATTGCAGAGTTATTTGGTAGGGGTGTGAAATAAAATAATTGCATCACTTTTGGAAAGTGTGATAATTTTGATAATTAAAGAAAAAAAGTTAAAGAAAACACTACTTGGCATTTTGTTAGCACAAAGTTATGCTTTTTTTGTGGTGCATTTAAAAAATACTTTCTCTATAAAAGATAAGTCTTTAAAAAAAAGAAATCGACAAATCCGCAAGGAGGCATATATTTGTTGTTAAGAATTGCATCTCAGTTGTTTTTTACTGGCATTTTATTATACCAGGTTGTTTTTGTTACGTATTTGAAAAATACTTTCTCTATAGAAGATAAAATAAAAAAAAGAAATCGACAAATCCGCAAGGAGGCTATATAATATATATATAAATATGTGTATATATATTTGTTATTAACAGTTACATTTCATTTTTTTTCCACTGAAAATCTTTCTGTGAGAAGAAGCATGATCATACATGGATTTCACATTTGAACATTTTTTATGTATTCTGGTTGACAGCGTTACGTTAATTTTCACAATGTCATATATTCCCAGAGTGTACAAATAAACAATGGCATTTAACATTTTTTCTTGATGTTGAGTTGCATATTTCCGAAGAAAAAACCTCACTGTACATTCAAACATGGAAAATAATATATACAATAAAAATTATTTGGCTACATGCCAGTCTACATCTTATCTAAAGAAATATCTCTCCAAAATCAAGTATATCATAAACGATTTAAATTGCCATTATTAGAAATCGGGGAGAAATTGCGGGTGCATTTGTTATGAAGTCAGTAACGTATACAAATAGGTAGTTTTAGTCTAAGACAACTCAATAACTCCTCTCTGTAGTAAGAATATTTGCCCTTTTTTACCCCCACGAGTGCAAATTAACCAGCTTCCATCTCCATCTTGAGAGTGGCTGAAAATTTTGAATGTTAGAACTATCTATAGCTCGAGTCAAAAGAAGGTAAATTTTGAATGTATTTGGATTTGGAAAATCTTGGTGATTAAGGGATTAGTGTTGAAATTTCCAAGAAAAAAAAACATTGCATATAAAGGTTTATAGCTCAAAACCTGGCTCTAACCAAGTATTCTCTTCATATAGTGTCTCTCGTCTGCGTGTGGTCCACATTGATCGGTAGATGAAAATTCTAGTGACTTCGCATTTTTACCCTGTTACTGTCATTCTTCATTGACGGAATTCTCAACATAAGATATCACGTCGATAAAAAGTCGGTACATGCCTGTTCCCCACCAGCAGTGGGTATGGTATTACGCTCCTTCAAAGCAAGAAAAAAAACGTCTCGCTTTTATTTCGTCGTAAAATCCGAACTTGTTTGGGCCCCACCGACTGACTCTCACGATAATACCGCTTTGCTCCGCGGCAATAAAAACGCCTTTCAGGTGACGTACCACATTGAAATAATGACATTAATTATGCGAAGTAGAGGGGGCTAGTTAGACGGCACACGCGCCTCATCGTCGCTAGATCATTATCATGCCGTTTTGGTGAGGAGGATAGTGCAAGATCAAAGGGACCGACGCGGCGTTTCACAGGCATATCCTTTGGTTGTTGGGCCATTATTATTTTTGAAGTTGTTTTATCACTTGTTCTAAAGCACATCATTGTAATAACTTAGGCTCTGGTGTAGCGCTTTGTGGGGTCTCCGGTTCGATCTTTTCTTGTTTTATTTTTGACAAAACGGTTTCATCGTAATGCCCTCTCTTGCCTTGGGTTTCATTTTTGTTTATTATTGAGCAGAATAACTCACAGTAAGTTAATGTATATTTCAGTGGAGGTAAACAATTAAGACAAAGTTTCAGTTATTATAGTAAGGAGTTATTATAGTTTAGGCAAGTTCTTTTAATTCACTGCCTTAAAGTGTCCAATTTTTTTTTTTTTTTTTTTTTTTTTTTGGCATTTTTTAAAACATATGTTTTAAAAGTTTTTTAGCCCTTTTGTTTTAGAAAGCTTTTCAGCATCTACCTTGGCGTTGCAAGCTTTTTGTTAAATATATATTAAGCATATTTTTCACTANATTTTTTTTTTTTTTTTTTTTTTTTTTTTTTTTTTTTTTTTTTTTTTTTTTTTTTTTTTTTTTTTTTTGGTCATTGTTAAAACATATGATCTAAAAGTTATTTAGACCTGTTGATATAGAGAGCTTTACAGCATCTACCTTGGCGTTGCAAGCTTTTTGTTAAATATATATTAAGCATATTTTTCACTATCTTGGTTGTTCTGGAGTCTTTAAAAAAACACATTATTGACCACACTCTGCATTCCTTTGAACTGCATTACGATATATCAACATTGATTTAATATCTTTAAATTTAAGCGTATTTCATATTAAAATGTTACTGTTTTTATTACATCAATATCAACGGGTACAATGTAAACGAGAGAATCACTTCTGCTGACTAGCACCTTGTAGAAGTATACTTTTGATGTTTTACGGTTTTACGGTAAATACTTTACTTCTTTTAAACTACGGATGTAACCAACAAACAAATATTCCACGAACATTGACATCAACAAACGGAAATCCGCCAACGGACTTAAAAAATGTGTTTCGAACACAGCGCTTGTGTGGATTTATTAAATGACCGTCTTTTCGATCGACGAAGAATTGTTCGGTAGAAGAATTGTATTACTTTTCTTTTTTTGCTTGAGAGAAAGGTTTCTCCGAGTTAAGCTTTAAAAAATTTGTCCGCATTTTAATTTCACCCGATCGAAACTGTAACTGAAAAATAGATACTAAGACGATATGAAAAGCGTTACGCTATTTATAATTATATTTATTGTATACGCATCTGGACATTTTTACAATATTATAATAATTATCATTACGAATGCCATGCTTCTTTATAGGTCTATAAATTTAATTTACATATATACATATTGATCATGATAGTTAATAAATAATTTTGTTTTTAAACTGATTGAAAAATGCTGATGGCGGTTAGACAACATAAAAATCTTTCAATTGGCGTTGTGAGTCCAACAATAAATGAAAGTATCCGTTAACTGTGATGTAGAAGTAATTCGCCTCTAGTTCGGATTACAACGCCGCTTGTGTCCTTACGACAACCTCTGCAGCGTCATACTTAAACAGTGTATTAACAGATATCTATGTTGCACTGCTTAATCCTAGGAAGCCTTAATTATAAGCTATCACTCAAGTTGTTCCTCTGAGAACAATTAATCACGAGTCTCAATTCTAGCAATTTGCTTGATAAATTACACAGAAATAAACATACAGGGAAACGATCACAATTCATCAACGCGAAATTACCGCTCTATCAGAGCTTTGGGATTCACTGGGGAGGAATACTATTCTGATCCCTATTATAGATAATCCCGATCGTTTTTAAATAGCCCAGTCACAGATCTCGGCGTAAAATGACCAAGATAGCATCGATGATTCTAAATCAAATTGTAATTCGTATGATTGATCACAGTGTCTTTTGGGATAGGGTCGTTTTGGTAAGGTTTTACCAATATCCTTTCGAAAGTTGCAACGACTCTGTCAAAAGCCATTTCCTAACGTCCTTCAAACACCATTCCAACTATTTTCTTACCTATTTAACAGTTTTTGTATTTGATCTACTAGCAATCGCTTAGAGGTAAAAGAAAAACGTGGACATAACGCAAATACTTCTCTTCATTGTAGCACAGATCGTTTGATCGCTATTTTTATAAACATACAACAATCACAAATCGATAATAAGACTTTACAGAAAGGTATTGTCAAAATAGGAGCAAGATCACACAGTGAGTTGCTCACTAACTAAAAAATACTAAGGGCACCTTCTGTTTTCAAACAATTATCATTGTAGGTCACGTAATATGTTGACTTGTGAAGTTCTGTGGACACTTAGTGGAAAATATGACATTGCTTACGAGGTAAATATGGCATAATTCACGAAGACTTCCCAGACTACATCATTTGTACTGGCACGCTCACGTGTAATTTATAACCGTTTTGGTTTCAAGTCGAATAAGTTCGCTTATAAGCGATTTCATTTTTTTTTTTCCACAGTTTAACTTAACTGTCACCTCTCTATCCAGAAACTTTAAATATCTTTTTATCACCTAATGTGTAATATGCTGTCATAAGACATGAAAGAAGGATTCATGTTTGGACTCGGGAGAAAAATATTTACAAAATTGCACAACAAGATATAGCTGAATTGTAAAAAATCTAATACAGAGGAAGTGTCCTTAATCCGTTTTGTACGGCTGGAATAGCGTAGGCTGTGTCGGGACAGGTCTGATCGCTGTCGGTACGCTGACGGAGGGGGAAAGATTACGTGACGCCGTCAGTGACGTAGATAACGGTGACAAGGACGCGGCAGACGCGAGGGGAACAGGTGCCGACGCCAGTGACACCGTCGGCGGGGAGACAGTCGTGATCCCTCCGTGGTAAAACAGGTGACAGTTACACGGTTCTCCTGGGCTGGCAGTACAATGTGTTGGTGGGGACCCCTGTGCAGGGAGGGGGGCCGCTGGGAGGCCGTGGTGAGGTAAAGAATCGCGTGCGACGTGGAGCGAGCACGTGGCGTTTGCTGACGTCGAGGGGACCGACAGGGGAGTAGGGTGAACCAAGTGAGCACCGGCAGGGACAGCTTGAAGGATATCTGGCCTCGGTCTCAGCGGAGTCGTGGTGAGTGGTAAAGTAGGATATGGAGCCCCTGGTCTCTGAAGTCCCAGGCCTGCAGCGGCATAGTACCCCAAAGGTGCCCCTCCCGTGGTTGGCGGGAGGCCGTAGTGGTACCCTATGTTGGCAGCGGCGTTAACCAGATAGGCGTAAATATTAGGGTCGGCAGCAAGTCCGTAGGGCCAAGCAAGGGCCATTCTTTGACGCTTGTCCTTCATACGACGATTCTGAAACCACACCTGAGATAAAAAAAAAGACAGTAAAATGAATATAAGCGTTTTTTGCAAATGGCAATTTACATAAAGTTTTTAATAATTTATATCGACATTTGTCATAATAATGGATGAAAAAACCTTTTCCGACCATTTCAAAAAATCTTTTCTACATCGAATTTATTTCAACTTTACTCCTTAATTTCACCATTTAAACATTTGTGATTCTTGTACAAAGTGTATAATACAAATATCTAGAGGCCAGTATTATAGGTACAGCTGTAGATGTAATTTTATCGTCTTCTTGTTTTTGACAAAATATCATTTCGTCCAGTGGCGAGTCAACCACATAATTTTCTATCTCTATGCCCATAAATATACAATAAAATAATAAAATTGTCCCGACTTTTTATCCCCCTCCCCCTCCCGAAAGATTGTGAAGCCGCCAGTGTATAATATAGGTTTCTGGACCTCACCTTGATCGTGCTCTCTGGGAGGTTCAATGCCGCAGCCAGCTCACAGCGCCGGGGTCGGGAGACATAGTTCTCCTTGTAGAATTCCTTCTCCAGGCGGCCTATTTGCTCTCGCGTAAACGCTGTGCGGTACCTTCGTACGCCGCCATCATCTGGGGAACCGTCTGTAATATCAAAAATATATTGAATAAAGTAAACGTGTATACTTAAGTATTTTGATTTATAGACATCTTGACAAAAAGAAAAAGAATATTTATTTATAATATTTATATATAATATTGTCCATGGTATGTAAAAAAAGTAATAAAAATTGAAATAAAATAAAAAAAATAATAAACAATCACGTGAATAGTTACACAAATCGTTGCAAGGATAAGATGCTTGACAAATATTGCAGTACTGATTCCATTATTTTCAATGTTCCTGTTATGATGATAAATTCTGTATCTGTTGTTATCTTCGATACTGTGTATTCAGTTGAGTAATAAGTAGATCGCATTTTGAATAAGTAATTAAAAGAGAAAAAAGCAACGAAAAGTTGTGAGAAAAACGAAAGTTACTTATTCTCAGACTTTTTTAACGTTTAAATCTTAAGCCTCGGCCTCGTAATCAATATCAAATTAATAGCCATTTCTTTTTTTCCGTCGTTATCCCGATAATACTGTACAAGGAAACGTTCATAATCCCCATATCTCCTAATTGTAAATCCGTAAATCCCCATTTTCTATGCCACTTCGAGTTAGAAAATTATTAACATCATTGTTAAGCTATGAATCAGGCCAATAAAAGACCAATTAATTGTGGGTCGATTAATCGAAAATTTATTATATTTGCTGGTTGGTAATTTGACAGAACACGCGGTGCACGCTCAAGTATGTGCTGACGTAATCGACCGCACTGCAGTAAACGCGCATGCTTTGAACTTTATTTGTTTTCTTCTTGTGTTCGTATGCGCGGCAAATGTAACGTTGATTGGAGGGTCTTTGGAGTTATCTTCAAGTGTCATAAAATACTAATTATATATGTTCCCTGCTACTTCTGCTTCACATTCTAAATATTTTATTCCGTGTAAGCTGTTGCCTTGCTTCCATTCAATTTGAAAAAAACACTAAAAACCTGTACGTTCTCTCCTAAGTCTTTTATACATCGCCTTTCTCCATTCTCTATAAACAGCAATAAAGATATTTTAAATTTCTATCTTAGATTCAAAACCAATGTAAATCTTTACTACGATAAAACGAAGTCCTTAATCTGATGATAGTAAATTTCAAACAATTTTATATGACGTGTGAGTAGAAAAAAAATTTGAGCTATTCGCTTCGATGATCTACTTTCGTAACAAGAATTTAGTTGGGCTAGAAAAGCATATAGAACGTTTTACAACAAATAAAATCAACTTACGACATTGTAAGCTTTCAGTCAGGAGCATTGTCATAGCGTTCCTTTCCTATGGCGTGTCACCCCACAAACAATCTACCTGAAACCTCTCCCACAGATAGCCAGCGCACAAATACCTCTCAATTACATTACATCAAGATACATTTGCCTTAATACCAGGATAGAGGATAGCTGTCGTGAGGCATCATAATCGACATTAATAAACCCTAAAGTCTCATACAAACCACATCGTGCTCGTCATCATCCCTCCCCTTGTAATAAAACCACCGTCGCCTCACGCAAACTTGGAAATTATCCTCACCAACGATCACCATATCAAGGGCGATCGTAGACCGTCTTCGCAGGCGACGCCTTTGGATATTTTGACCCGACTCCACACGCGAGTTTGAAGCGCTGTATCAAAGTATTAATCGCCATTTCTACCGTACAGGGTGTCGTTGATGACTAGAGTAAAGCATTATAGTGGTCTTGCCTTCATGAAAGAGTAATAACGATGATGATAATGATGATTGCGGCAGTTATGATAGCGATCATATTATAAATTAATGAAAGGACGATGCTCTGCATCTTCAAGGGGGATGGTGTGTAAGAAGGGATGTGGGTAAAGGGCCAAATGACAGGGAGGGATAAGAGAAGGGAAAAGTCGTTGATTAGAGGTCTTAATGTGACGAGCACACACGATAATGAAGAGATAACACTTCAAAGGAATGCTGCTGGGGCATGAGAAGCGCCATCATCATCATCGTGATGAGGCGCAACCAAGTGGCCTTAATATGCCGCATGACAGTGTCTTTGTTTATATATTTATTTCATTCGATTCCCACTCTCGTTGTCATTTATCCGAGTTGTATTTTAGACACAGAACCATCGGCCTTGCCCGTATAACAAAGAGAGTACTATTTGAGAGTCCTGGTTATGAATTTTAAGTTTTTTTTAACCTTAAAGTTTTATCATTTTAAAATCAACAACGCGAATATCGCTGTGACATTATCCCTTTGAAAAGTGAAAACATCGCTAAAGCCTGCTTTAGGAAAACTTGGAACTTGTCTTTGTCACATGGATGAAATTTGGGACAAAATGAAGAAAATAAATCCAACAAATTATCACTGAGATACCAATCTCATTTGCCATCGTTACCAGGCTGCATAAAAATTAAGAGTCCACAAACCAATAATTTAAACTGATATTAGTTATGGATACGAGTTTGGTTTATTCTGATGGATTTGTCCCAATAAAAATGAACAGGACATCACTATAGCTGGACAGACGGTCCCTGCTATAACTGTGATGACCAACCACTCGACCACAATAAAAGGTCAGATATATTGTCCATAAACGGCCGAGAAATCACCTTTGTAACAAACATCGTTTAGCACTTTATAAAGGCACGGACGCCCACCTGCGAAACGCCCTCCATCCTGAAGCGGTTTAGCATTGCACAATCCATTCTTTCTCAAATATATCAGCTTTTGTCCACCAGTTAATGGTCATTTACCACCTCCGCAGTTAACTTTTCATTACAGAAAATTCACGAGGAAAACTGTTAAATAATTCCCATCACTAAAATGACAAAAACTTAAAAGTCTCGTAAGTTTATTTGATGAAAATGGCATCGACAAGATATACATACGAGATGTCTTCTGATGTATACAGGTTAGCAGTCATATGGCAATCAAAATGGATTAAATTTCAATAGAATTTTGCCGATATATACCACAACATAAAATAAAATAAAATAAAATAAAAAAGCTTTTCCAGCTGATTATCTTTTCATGGAAAAAATACTTGGGGAGAGTTTCTTACAGGCCTGCTTCCATGTTTTCTTCAAGAAACTTATTTCAAGCAAAGAAAAAGAAATAACACATTTAGGATGACTCGCAAAGACATCGTTTATCCCCCTCTACTCCCCACTTCCCTGAGGGTTGCCCTTACCCCCACCTTCCTCCCTCGAAGGTCACTCCAACCCACGGAGACGCTTAGTCTGAAGAAAACCCTTTGAAGATGCCGCAACATATTATAATGATTCTCCAGTTGTTACAGGTAATTTGTCTGGAGCGACCCGATTGTAATCAACCGCCTGTTCACCTGTGTTAACCTCCCGGAATTGCTCATCTTCATTTTAATTAATTGATAGCGTCTGTTTGGTCGTCTTTTAACAAGAAGATTAACCCCACAACAACTTAGTTTCGCCATATTCATTTGCTTAAAGATGCTTAATTGTTTTCATCAAAAGCAGCCCCTGTCTATGGTATATATAATATGAATTGAGATATGATAAATTGGGCGTAACACATAAATTATCATTAGTTGTTCTCATTGCTGATGTAAAGCCCGATTGTTGAAAGTATTTTCCTTTTATTTTACCAAAACGAGACCAAGGATCTTGGGCGATGAAAGTAATAATAAACACAAATTATTCTCCCCTTTTCGACTCAACAACATGTATTATAGCATCAACAATTCTGTTAACGAAATCGTCTTTTATGAAATAAACTGTTTTGTTAAAACTAAAAATATATTCAAGAAGGAGTCGGTAACCATGGATTGACTTTTTAAATCGCAAGTTAAAACCAACAGACTTCCATTGGTCTCTCAATGTTGCTCCCATTTCCCTTAAAAAACTTAATAAAACTTGACAACATGTTTACGCGCGTTAATTTCGATGACTATCTCAATTTCATTTGATATCCTCAGAAAAGGATGTCTGTTATTTGTTCATCGGCATTTCTTTACCCCTCTTCTCTAATGATAATAGGGCTTTTGCACGCCTTTTGTCACATGTATCCAACAATCGAACTTATTCATGTGCCGTGAGAAATAAGGTCAAAACACTTATCATTATATTCAGCATTTCAACAAAGAGAGAGCGATCAATCCGATTGTTCTCTCAAGGTGAGAGTTCTAAGCTAAGCAGCAGACACCGGGTCTACGGTAAACAATAGCAACAAATTGCCTTCTTTGTTTGTAAATAGCTCGGACATCCTCTGATTGCGGCCAACAGTAACTGACCACTTGACCGCTAGTAATCAACATGTCGGGCCGATGTGATTGTTCTCAGTTGGCTTGACCTGATTGCAATCAAAGGGTACATGAATGCAATCAATTTGGGGCCACTTTAAACTGTGCCACGGAAAGAAAATGGTCTTTTTATACAGAGTGGGCAATTTTCTCCGTATCACAGCACGCGGCCTGCTTCTTATTCAAAGACACCTGCATTTTCCCATTGAAAAAATGTGGCAAAAATTTAGAGGGGTTTGAACAGGAACAAAAGTTGACGTCTGAACACGGAATATCACATTTTTTAAATTTCAGGTCTTTTACACGACGAATTAAATGCTGACTGCTTGTCTCTAATTCTTTCCTTTTTTTCACCGTAAAAGAAATCACAAATATATGTTAAGCAAAGGAAACAAGTTGTAAAACAAATGAAATTTGATAACAATATTAAAATTCTTCACATAAAATTTCGGATACATGAAAATCTTATGACATATTTAGTATCGTCGTTTCGGATAAATTTTACCAATTTATCCATCACTATTTTACTATAAAATTAGTAAAACAAGTTAGTTATTTCTCTTGCCATATTCTTGGAATAATAGCAAGAATGATAGATATTGATAAAATATTAATTAATTAGTTTTCTATTTTTGAAAATATACACCTCTTGCTCTAATAAAAGATATCATTTTAAATTAATGTGAGTCATAATGAAAGTCATTAATGAAACACTTCACAAATTCTCCCTCATTCCTTTATCTTCTTAATATAAACATCTCTGTTTAAAACGGACACTACTTCACCATGCCTTTTACACGCTAACAAACTTTCACGTTCATACAACTCCCAACTGTTTATTTACATTTCGTAGAAATTCGAATAATGCGAAATTTGTCTAACAACATTAACTTACGGGGTGGGAGAAGCCAGGGAAACATTATATGGACCTAATTGTATTCGGCATGAATAGAAATTTATAGTTCTACTTAAGACAAACTGTTTATACCAAGTAGAGAGGTTTCGCTCTCCTCGCGTCCTCTTCTGGTTTATCTCAGGGCCACATAATGGAATTAACTTTGGCTTTTAATTATGAAATCTACTCGGGCAATGAGACGCACCGACCCTGTTAACTTGCAGAACTTCCACGCGACACGGTCTGCTTGTGACGTGGGGAAGAATTTAGGACGTTATTCGTCATTCTAAATACTCTATAGTCAAGAGTATTTTTATATCTGAACATGCGACTTTCGAGTTATAAACAGGGCACAAAGATGTGCATTTGTCAAAGTTGTAACATATTTATTTAGGAACTAATTGGTATCAGAACTCCTAACATTTTCATTAAGATTTGTCTTCACTGTTCATGACCCGACCTCGGATCTTTTTTTTTGACCAGTTAATTCATAATAATTGTAATCACGCTCAGGTGTCTAGTATTTTGGATCACTGGTACATTCCATAAGAACACGGATTAGGAGAGAACAGATACATAAATAAATAATTAGAAAAACAGATGACAGGTGCTGAAAGAGAGTCAAATATTTACTAGAGAAGCGAGTGGGAGAAATCACAAAGGGTTTAGATATAGGGCCACAACTCGTACAAAACGTGATTTTATGATTATTTTTTTAATTTCTAAATAAACACGTACCTTTTCTTGGTGATGACATATTTTCTTTGGATAGACCATCATCGTCACGGCGGCCGCTCAGGCTGTCGCTGTCGTCATGGCATATCGTGATATTATTCTCGGTGTCCGAGTCTCCACCATGCTGGTGATGGTGGTGGTGGTGGTAGTGGTGACCCATGTCCAGTTCGTGACCGCTTTCTGCAGTGACCATCATGCTATCAACCATACTCGACAGTTTCTTCTTTTTAAATAAAGACGACCTTTTCCCTGCTCCCTCGAATGCTTTCAGAGTTTTCCCCGTTAAGACTCCAACTGTGTAATTTCTGAGGGCCGGAACCGCAACTTAACTCGGCTCACTTTAAGTGAAAAACGTTTCTCTTCTTTTTTTTTAAAGTCTAGATCTCTTGGTTGTCTGAGACTCAAGTGGGTAGAAACACACTGTGAAATAGATTCAGATTGTAGGGAGAGATTTCCAACGTGCCAGTTGCTGGATTTGAGAGCGTGACTCCTTGGTAAATGAATGCCTGACTCACCCGATCACTCTCTCTCTCGCCGCTTACAAACTCTGCCTTGGTTGAATCGGAATTCCGCTGCTGATGATCTGCCAAAACAACTAGACAGCCATGCAACAACAATGTTCAGAGAGAGCAATCTTCCGCTCCACAAATAGTTAGCTGTCTTCTACTTAAGTCCTTGAAATAATCGGACGCGCAATGTCTCTTGTTCGATCTCAACTCGACTGTCCGCTCTCCTCGACTTCCTCGGACTTTTAACAGGCCTCTATGCCTTTGTAGGGGCTTAATGTCCTTATAATGTCCCATACAACGACTCCTCAGTGTCTGATTGCAGTCAACAAATGTGTAAAAATGACACAATACGAAAGTTAATGATCCTTATTTTACTACTTGGAAAGGGACGGATTTAGTCTTGGGGGGATGGCGCGGAGGATGAAGCGATAGGGATTTGATTAACTTGATTAAAATCGAATGCACGATTAATTAAATTCTGAAGCATTATTTAGAGTGAAGTTGAAGAGATGAGTTCAAAAGAAATGATTTTCGGTTAATAACTCCGTCGAAAACATATATTTTAGCTAAGATACTTAAAATGCAGTATATTTAAGTGTTCAAAATTACAATGATTGAGCATTATAAAATACCTTGAAATAAAACGAGTTTTTCGAACGACTAAAAACATAACACATATGTCAGATTGGCCAGTTACACAATAAACCTAATTCATTCGGAGACAAAAAATATTTCTTTTTGTGTTTCTATTTTCTTTATTAGCAATCAAATAATTTCCAACAGCTTCTCCCCAAGTATTATAGTGTCCATCGCTTAATGTCCCCATCTCGATTACGAGAGCGGCGAGATCAAAGTAGAAGAAGCAATGGACGTCACACTACATTGACCAACCAGGGACCCAGATACATAAAGGGGAGAGAGTCGGGAAGCTCCCCAACGCTAAAATTTCGACATTTCTAGTTAGACACTAAGATCTAATAAACTCTGTTTATTAGATCTTAGTTAGACAGAAAGAAAAGAATCAAATCATTCAAGTGTATATCATTTTCATACTGTCACGATCGTATTATCCTAACTCTCGCCGTCCTCATTTTGCTGAAATATATTTGTTGGATGCAATAAATAAATAAATAATACATAAATAATGTATTAAGGTATATAAATGAAATTAAAGTAAAATTCTAAACATGAATGAAAACTTATAGCATACCACATTTTTAATCATGTTTTTCATAATTTGCTCGTTTTTAATTTTGTTCACATCAACAACAAAAAGATAAAGTCTAAAAAAATTATGAATAATAAACAAAATTAATTGCTAAGAGCAATCCCCACATAATTTTTCCTCCCCTAAATACGCGAGCAACCGGCGCAAGGGCATTCCCTCAGCCGTATCATTACAAAGCAAAGGCAGATTGTAAATTTCAAACACAAAAACCAAGAACAGATCGTATACAACCCACATAGCCGGCATGGGGACAGAAGGACAGGGAAATTGTGAAGTATGGAGACGGGTCTTGAGATTTATTGGAATTAACAGATGGCGACTGACGGTGCGGCTTCCGCCATCATGGACGCTTAATTAGTGACGTAATCATTACTCGTGCCCGTAACGTAAGGCGACAACTGGTGGAATGTTGACCTGATGCCTGGAGTAACTGAAGACTGAGACCCCACATCTATGGAGATTGACACAATTTAATCACCCAAATCATAAGAAAGAGTGGAAATTCTTTTTGGCGTTTAATTCTTTATTCCTCTCCTTTCTTCAATATTTTAATATTATTTTTTTCCTTTGTCACTTGGTTGCTCATTTTTGTTTGCAAATCTAAATTAATTCAGCTACCAAGTATATAACAAATGGTTTATAAATGTAGTACGTAGTTTCTAACATCTACATTTTCACAATATTATTATCTATCAGGGATATCTGCCCACAACTCACAAATTGATTATTTTATCAGTTTTAAGAATAATGTCATAAACATGAATTTTAAATCAAACACAAAAGCTTGCTTGGAGTCTGAGTTTTGCTTTTCCATTAAATAAAGCAAACGGAATTATACATATATTTGATTACGAACCCACCAAACAATAGTTGACAAAACAATCCAATTCAAGTTAAAAGGCTGCATAAAATGATTGCCTGTCGCAATGCTACAAAGATCTATAACAAAATGGAAACGTTTGAACAATACAAATAATTGTGTATAATTATTTTGAGATGATAAATTTGCAAAAATATGGTTTCACGAAGCACATGATAATGACAAGTTTGTTGTGTAAATCCGCTTTTAAATTAATCCGAACAATCGGATTAATTCTGCGTATTAACGTTCTTAATTAATGGAGTTTGACGTTAAACGTGTAATTATCAAAGGGGACTTATAAGGAGATTTTAAGGAAGCAAATGATTAATCAATTTAAAACCAGCAAGTTAAGTGCAATTCAATTAAAATGATTTAACCTAAATGGCTATTTTGATAAAGAAAAGACGAATACTATTATGGTTTAAAACTATTCAGGAAAAAAAAAAGATAAATAGGCCAGTTTTTTAGCTAACTTCATTAGAACGCTTTTTGATAATATATCAATTCATCATTTCATATCGAGCCTAGCTTTCTGCATCCTGCTTAATTTTTTGTTGCTTTCGAGGGAACTACACGAAGTCTAATATTTTCAAAAATTATAAGAAATGTAAATTAATATAAATGTTAAAAATCAACATATTTCATTATTAGTGCTAATTGATTAATTTTTTTTATTTCGAGACAAATTCAAAATAAGAACTGTTCGTAAATTTGTAAATGTTGCTTACAAATTTCTTTTTTAAATTGAAAGAAAAAATTTATACGTGTTGTGGCGTGTTTTAAGAGATCAAAAGATACATTTGAAGCTGTTGAACTTCATCTGTCATTGCCATGCTCCATGTACTACCATGGAAAATCATATTTATAAAGAATTTAGAAAGAAAATTGAAGTTTTATTGCAAGTGTGTAAGTAATATGCATAGCGATCGCAATCGTTCCTCGTCTCCTAAGCTAAGAGGAATACTTATCGTCAGAAAAGATCACGATTCGAGCGCAGTCAGACAAATTGCTTGGCACTGAACATGAAATTAATGATTTCGTCGATTTGGGGAAGTTTTTGTGTATCAATCAGTCAAGAGATTCTTGATACATAGTTCTGATAGCAAAGCCATGCTCATGGCCAACGTATTGGGAACTTCAAATTGATCTTATGCCTTGGGATATATGGTTAGAAACAGTGAACATGTAAATCTCTGCGATAATTAAAAAGGCCCCGTTTGTAGTTGAGAAAAGGTAGGGCGACCGTGTTCCCGGTGCTTTACCGGTTTAGTCATCAGCGTAAACCATGGGGCGATAAAACCCATGATAACCAACGCTGCTCTTTCAATAAAACCCTTAAACACAAACATGATGAGCGTCGGTGCCTTTGATCACAAGGCGCTATGTACAAGACTTCTGAAAACAGCACTACGGCAGATTTCACACTAAAGAGTTGATAAGCGTCTTTCACGGGGAAGAAGGAACCAATGTGCCTCGGGGGAAAACACCGCGTATTAGCAGGTGAAGACTGGCGAGGGTGACGGGAAACAATGGCCATCCTCGCATGCCCAGCCAGCCTGGCGATAGTCCCTCCTGTTCCCTCGAACGCCGACATAACTATTATGCCACAGCCCCACGTCCACTGTCTTTGATCACATAATTACGACATATAAAAATTAAGTACCAGTTGGGAGATGAAATGGTGAAGCCCATTACCTAGGCGCCGCTGCCATATACATATAACGCTTCTGACCGCTAGGATTTTGGGGCTTTATTAGCCCTTTCCGTTCCCTTTGATATTCCTTTGATTTTCATTATTAGGTCCTATTTTACACCCGGTCTGGAGTGATATTAAAGTTATTTATCGCCCTTCTACAGATGACGTCCATGGCGGTCCTCCTGTAGTAAAATAATTCCTTTGAGCACTCGTCAAAAGTTTTTTTCTGAAGACAGTAAAAAAGGTGAACTAATACACAGTAAACATTTCCCCGTGAGTACTATTAAAATTTTCTATTATGATTTTTATTGAATAATGGCAGTTAATTGTGGAAGCGCAGTTTTACAGTGTAATAATTTTTTAATGGAGTTCTTTTGAAAAAACAAAACAAAACATTTTCAGGCCTGAGCGCGAATTAGTACCTTTTACATAAGAGCTTATTTGTAAAATTACCTTTAATTAAAAAAAAATTAGATACCCTCTGTTTTTTAGGGGTGTAAGTAGGTGCGGAATTTATATAGTACTTATGTTTCCTTTAAGTATTCTGATTTTTTAGTATTCTTGATTTTTTGGGGTAAGGTTGAGTCTGACATCAATCCCCGGGTGCGTTTTTTACGAGCAGTGTGTGTGTTAATACACCACGCAGATGTAAAATATTTATGTCGCTTTAACGCCCAAAAAGACATCCGATGATTGGGTTGGATTTTATTATGTAGATACTTTCTACACCCAATAAAAACTTCACACGTGCTAAAATGAGCGGAAAAGACGTTTGCCGTGGGTAAGGGCAAGTTAATAAAAAAAAAAAATACTCCCAGTCACTCTATCAATCACTCATTGGGAAATATGGTAAATTGCAATTTGATACTAAAAAAGAGTTGCCAGGAGTTAGAACTCAATGCTAAACTGGAAGTTTAAAAATTCTATTTGGTTTTGACTGAATTTGTTGCTCTCTTGTCTCAAGGAAAACAAACTCATGTCTTGTTAAATGCTTAAATGTGAAAATTTTGGAGCGATTGACACTTACTAATATCTATTGTTTTTCAGTAACAAAGTTTTAGATCCTTTGCCATTTGGAGAAAATCCTGTCATCTTTATGTATTTTTTTCTGCCTCAGTTGTTTCCTAAATGTGTGTACTTGAGGAATCACAGAGATAATTTATACTTCTGTGATAGAAATATATCTTTTTTGAAAAATTCATTTTCCTGTACAATGTCTTTCTCTTTACAAGAAGGGGTTATCTAAAAAAATAGTTCCTGAACAGCAAGGGCAATATCTGTAAAAAATAAAAGATATCATACAAATGATGAGTTATTTCGAACAGGAAATAGGCCTACAAGTACATGTAGAATAACACTGTATGTCATGGAGTATCGCGACGCGGTAAAATATTTTTCAATCCAGTTTAGTATCTATGCTTCGGCATGACCATTATTATCTGGATTAACTCAATATGCACACGGACATCTTTTTCTGTCATCATTTTATCTCATAAATGATTTGTTTAAATATGTTAGCTGGTTTTAGAGCGGTCTAGTTATTC